TTTACAAACTCTGCGGCCCCAAATAGAACCCATATCAGAAGCATTAAACATGTACCACTTTGAAACTGCTGATTCTAATAACTTCTAGAAGTTGGTTCGTTATGTCAATGGGTTAATACTATTAAAATCTCTTAAAAGGGATTGAGTTTTTGTGCTTTAGTTGCATATTTCATTCAAAAGGGTGTTTTGAATTTGTGCAGATCATTAAGTTCTTGCTTACCAGTACCGGAGTGAATGTGAATGCGTTGAATGCTAACAGCTTTACGGCTTTGGACATTCTGATGCATAGTCCTAGAGATTTGAGGGATATGGAGATTGAGGATTCTCTTCGAAGTGTAGGGGCTAAAAGTGCAAAGGATGTACGTCCCATTGTGCATGACTGGGTTCGAGTTCCAACAAAAGAACGCCAGATATCAAGACGTCTAGGCTCAGTACTATCCTCTAAAGAGGGTGATTCTATGAAACCGGCTGCCCAACAGAAGCCTAGCGATTGGCTCGGGAGGAGGAGAAGTTCGTTGATGGTGGTGGCATCTCTCCTTGCAACCGTTGCCTTCCAAGCTGGTTTAACCCCGCCAGGAGGTGTTTGGCAGGATGACCTGAAAGTAGATGAGAATGGCAACCCTGTGGCAAAATCTCACACCGTAGGAGCATCTGTCATGGCATATAATCTACCAAAAGAGTATGGTCTGTTCATGATTTTTAACACAATCGCTTTCCTCACGTCCCTAAGCATAATTCTTCTGCTTGTTAGCGGGCTACCAATAAAGCGTCGAAGGTGGATGTGGATACAAATGGTCATAATGTGGGTTGCCATCACTACACAAGTTGTAACTTTCTTCATCTCTCTCCGTCACATGTCACCTGATGACATAAATGTGCAAGTCATGCTGCGTGAGGTAACGGAGATATCAGTTTTGACATGGTTGACTTTGATGGTTGTTGTTTTCATAGGGAATTGTATTCGTATGAATTTATGGGTTCTCAGAAAGTATGGTTATATTAAGCCAAAAGAGGAATCAGCCACCATTGATGATGAACTTGAGGAGGAGGAGAACTGAGGATTAAAGTGAAAAGAACTCACTTTTGTATGGCCTGACAACACAGAACTTGTCATTGCAGTCATGTAGATGTGAGTGTCAAGCTAGAAAGTTTTGGTCCACAACCTTGTCAAGTATGAGATTGGACATTTGAAGGTCTGTTTTTTAGCAGCACATTTGAATGAAGATACTGTAGTCAACCCCTTTCTTATCTGATTGTTTGGGTTTGAGGATTAAAATCACCCATTCTTGTATATCTATTCCTCTGTTAATGATTATGTGGAGGCATTCTTTAATGAAACGATAGTCGTTGGATAGTCTTCGGCTTGGTTGGTGTATGGTGGGTTTGCTACTTTGCCCTCGGAACCATATATCTTTTGATGGTTTAGGGTCTTTCATTGGTAAAGACTAACAACAAGAAAATGATTTTTTGGACATGTTGGGGGTTTTGGCTATCTTTTTCTTATGGACTGTTTGGTTGGAAAAGGAATAATAGGTTGCTTTGAGCTCAAGAGGGGGAGCAGGTGGAGCTAGTTTGTTTGGCATATAAAAAAAAACATATGTTTCTTTCTTTTGTTGTTGCAAGATTAAGCTAAATATGAAAGCATCAAAATTGAGAAGCATGACAAGGGGTTATAGTTCAATAAATTATGCGGTTTTGTAAACAAGTACTTGATCAGATAAAATAAAGAGGAAAAAAGAATCCAAGTCAAATAATTCCATTCATCATTTCATCTACTTCTCTGTTCTCATTGTGTGCCTTTGATTTTGGAGAGGACGGTGTTAATCCAAGTCAATACCGAATATGGAAGCTTCCAAGGGTCCCCAACAAAAACGTTTTACTGAATAAAGGCAGTAGTCTCTTCTCTTCTCTAATAAAATATTAATCAAGTTTTGGACTTTGGTTAGCTTGGTCAACTTCTGTTGGGCAAATTCTTCTTCTTTTTCACTATTGGCTTTCACAGTACCAGATCCAACGTTTTATCACGGCTCCATCTCCATGGCTCCCAAGCTCTGAAGCTAAGCGACTTTTCAAGCAAACCCAGAGGAGAAAACAGATCGAAGAAGATGGAGAAGAAGCTTTTAGATGCGGCCATGGAGGGAAACATAACGATGCTTAAAGATTTAATCCAAGAAGACCCACTTGTCCTTGATAGAGCTTTAGCTTCCTGCGTCTCAGAGACCCCACTTCATATAGCTTCAATGTTGGGCCATCTGGGTTTCGTCAAGGAGCTACTGAGTCACAGGCCCGAGTTGGCCTCCGAGTTGGACTCGAGGGGCTCGACGCCTCTCCACTTGGCGGCAGCCAAAGGGCACGCGGAGATTGTAAAGGAGCTGGCTTTGGTGGATCCTGCGGCATGCATGGTGAGGAACGAAGATGGGTGGACGGCGCTCCACGTGGCAGCTGTCAAGGGGCGTGTTAAGGTTCTGAGTGAGTTGGCCCGAGTCAGCACTGAATCGACTCGGGCGTTGACGGACCGAGGCGAGACTGTGCTGCACTTGTGCGTTGGACACAATCGGTTGGAGGGGTTGAAGGCTTTGGCTGACGCTTTTGGAAAAGATGATGATTTTCTGAATTGGAAGGACTTCGATGGGAACACCATTTTGCATATTGCTGTGGCCAAGAAGCAAGTTGAGGTATGCTGATTTTAATTTTCTATCATAAGCTGAGCTCAATGATTTTTAGTTTGTCTAGAGTTTCACATAGATGGATATAAAGTTTCTACCAATAAGCTCATTAATGGTTTTTAGTTAATGTAGCTTTATGTTTTGAAGTTTAAGACTTTGGCTATTTATGAAATTTGGGTATGGAGATGAATGGGATTGGGTTGTTTTCTTTTTTGTTAATTGCCATTTCTGATTTTGCTTTACAAACTTTAAGGCCTCAACTAGAACCCATGTCAGAAACATTAAACATGTAGCACTTAGAAACTACTGATTCTAATAACTTATAGAAGTTGGCTCATGATGTAAATGGGTTAATACTGCCTTTTTTCTGCTGAACATTTGATAAATACTACTAAACATCTCTTAAAAGGGATTGAGTTTGTATGCTTAGTTGCATTTGTTTTATTACAAAAGGGTGTTTTGAATTTGTTCAGATCATCAAGTTCTTGCTTACCAGTACCGGAGTGAATGTGAATGCGTTGAATGCCAACAGCTCTACGGCTTTGGATATTCTGATGCAGAGTCTTAGAGATTTGAGGGATATGGAGATTGAGGATTCTCTTCGAAGTGTAGGAGCTAAAAGTGCAAAGGATGTACAACCCATCGTGCATGACTGGGCTCGTGTTCCAACAAGACACCACCAGATATCAAGACGTCTAGGCTCAGCAGCACTATCTTTGAAAGAGGGTGATTCTATGAAACCGGCTGCACAGAAGAAGCCTAGCGATTGGCTTGGCAGGAAGAGAAGTTCATTGATGGTGGTGGCATCTCTCCTTGCAACTGTTGCCTTCCAATCTGCTCTAACCCCGCCAGGAGGTGTTTGGCAGGATGACCTGAAAGTAGATGACAAAGGCAACCCTGTGGATAACCCTCACTCCGTAGGAACAGCTGTCATGTCATATAAGCAGCCAAAAGAGTATGGTCTGTTCATGATTTTTAACACAATCGCTTTCCTCACGTCCCTAAGCATAATTCTTCTGCTTGTTAGCGGGCTACCGATAAATCGTCGAAGGTGGGTTTGGATACAAATGGTCATAATGTGGGTTGCCATCAGTACACTAGTAATAACTTACTTCATCTCTCTCCGTCAAATGTCACCTGATGCCTCAAATGTGAAAAAAATGTTGCGCGAGGTAACGGAGAAATCAGTTTTGACATGGTTGTGTTTGATGGTGGTTGTTTTTGTCGGCAATTGTGTTCGTATGAATTTATGGGTTCTCAGAAAGTATGGTTATATTAAGCCAAAAGAGGAATCAGCCCCCATTGATGATGAACTTGAAGAGGAGGAGAACTGAGGATTAAAGTGAATGGAACTCTCACTTTTTTATGGCTTGGCAACACAGAACTTATAATTGCAATTTTCTAGAAGTGAGTGTCAAGCTAGAAAGTTTTGGTCCGCAGCCTTGTCAAGTATGAGATTGGACATTTGAAGGTATGTTTTTTAGCAGCACATTTGGATGAAGATATTGTAGTCAAGCCCTTTCTTATCTGATTGTTTGGGTTTGAGGGTTAAACTCACCATTCTTGTACATCTATATTCCTCTGTTAAAGTCATCGGTCCTCGTCTCTGAGATGGCAATGGTTTTATGTGTATGTGTTTTTATCTTCCATACTTGTAAATTTTGAGGGCAAATATACTTCATTCTGATTGATTCAGTTGGCGTGATATGAATGCCACTCTTAAAGTTCACTCTGTTAATGATTCTGTGAAGGTATTCTTTAATGAAACTATAGTCATTGGCTCGGTTGGTGTGTGGTGGGTTTGCAACTTTGTCCTGGGAAAAGCATGTATCTTTCGATGTTTGGGGTTTTGGCTATCTTATGGACTGTTTGGTTGGAAAGGAAACTTGTGTTTAGGATGATGTCAACAGGATTTAGATGTACAACTCCTTTTCTTCTTCTTCCTTGTAATATTTTTCTATTTTTCATCAATAAAAGATATGTTTCTCCCAAGAAATAATTTTTTTTAATGAAATGACAGTGGCAGCTTGATTTGTAGCTCTTATTGTTTTCTGCTTTTGCCCCTTATTCTCTGGCTGTGTTCTGTTTAATTGTTGAAGCACATGCTTAAACACCTGTTTGGGGAATATCTGCTTAAAAGGTCACATTATACAGCCAACTTTTCCTCCTTTTTACTTCTTTCAAGTAACAATACAATAGTATGCAGGTGGGTGAATTTTTTTTTACTCTAAATTCTTACTTTCTTTAAATGGTCTTATTTTCGGCAGGTTTATACTAACTCAAGTTAATACCTAATGACACAGAAAAATCAAAGATAATTAAGAAAAATTATTCACCTCCTCTTTGAAAAAATCCAATCACTGCACACTAAAAACAGCATTGAAAAGCTTACAAAATTTCTACAAGGTCCAGAACAGCTATTTCACACGCAAATACCACCTCTGGCGGCTGTGAATGAAACACAATCCCTTCACATTACAAAGCTTCCAAGCAGACTTACATAACATGAGGATTTACAACACAGAAATGATGAGGAAGCAACACCTTTTCAATTTTATCTCATGCTGCCTATCGGTTGACTATGTTTAAGTGACTACAAGATATAACCTCACAAACACAACCATCAACCTTGTATGGTTCCAGGGAACACCCTGTTTGTATGGATTCCATTGACAACCCAGCTGATTGATGATGAGGCTGAAAGCACTGCCCAATTCGGAATTCACTGTGAGCTTCACCATTTCACAGAAAAATGTAAAAAATCCACTCAGCACAATCTAATCGTCTCATTCGGAAAAATAACATTGGGGTTTCTTATATGTGGATTTAGTGCTGCCAATTCCTTCCATTTTTCTCCAGTTCCATGAACGCGAGATGAAATGCTCCACAAGGTATCACCCGGCTGAACCTTTGTTGTTGCTGGAGCAGAAGATTTAGGAGCAGCTTTTGACTTCATAAATGGATGCTTATTGTTTTTCCCCATTCCATTAGCAAGCAACCAGCGGGAACCAGACTGTTTCTGACTCGCAGTACCCCATGGCTTCTTTTTGTCTGGTTCAGTTTTCAGACCTGCAACATGGACTTCAGTGATTCTAAATTGAGGAACAGCTTCCACTTCAGAAGATTTCTCATCTTTCCTCTCATCTTTCCTCTCCTCCTTTATTTTTTCTTTCCCAACTGACTCCAACTCATCATCCTCTTCATTACTGCTCCTTAGCTCTGAAACCGTGCTGTATATTTTTGGCTTTGGTGGGAGGAACGCTCTCTCTACTTGAACAAGAGAAAGCATTGGTGTCCCAACAGGCTCATAGTTTCGTAGTGGATCTCGAAGTTGCACCATCAATGCTACTGTGAAATTGTTCCCCAATAAACCACACTTTCTGCTAGCTCCTTTTCCACGCCTTCTCTCTCCCTTCGACCCTCCACGAATCATGTCCAAAGAGTTCGCATGATGAGCCGCAAGGATTTTGGAAGTCCGCTCACTAATATGATCTTCATCATCAATTTCGCCGGAATCAAGTTTCAACCATTCATCGAGAGTTAATGAGAGGCCCATTAGTCCGTCAACATCATTACCACTGTCTTTTATGTCTAGCAATTGCAATCCAGCAGCTCCCTCCAAACCAAGAGATTCACCAACATTAACGCCCTTGCCCTGGAGAGCTGCGATTTCCGCAACAGACTGTGCATTGATATTTGAAGGTGCATCCGCATCTGACATCCCAGATTGTATTCTCAACCCCTCAATTGAAAGTGCTTCAATTTTATCCATGGCTAAAGGAGCAAGATCTTCTAGAGAAACATATTCTAAGCCCATCTCATTGCCTGCTGCACTTGAATTAAACTTATTAGACTTAGGCCCAGATAAAATTCCTTTAGCTCTTGTTACCCCATCTGATGTATCTTGCCCAACTGATTCATGCTGCATCAAGCATTCCCTGCAAACAATAAGGAATGGCATACAAAAAGAATTAATATTCACCAAAGATGTAAAGGAAATATTGAACTTCGGACTTCACAATTCAGTGCTAAAACAGGACGTACAAACCTCTGACTCTGAGGTCCTTCCAAAGCAGGCACAGCTTCCCATGCTACTTGTTCCATTGTCTTTCCAGTGATATCTTCCAAGGGCATTAACTTGTTTGCCTGCATTGAAAGCTTCTCAATTCCTACTGATGCCAAATGCTGCAATATCTCAATTACCCCAGAACCCATTTCGGCTGGTACCACAACTGGACTGGAAACCTGCATGATCAAGTTCCCACCACTTTTGGCATTGCTGAAAAGTGAGGGATTCATGGACCGCAAAAACCCTCCATTCTTTGTCTGAAGAAAAGGACCTAACCCTTCTCCAAGAGGAGGCAAATCAAGTCGTTCTTCAGCAGGCAAATCTATTGGACTTCCAAAACTAGCAGAACTTTTTGGTGGAGAATGTTGAAAGGCCATCTCATTCAAGCCCCACTCACGCATTAATGATTCCGTCTCCAAGTCCTCTAACATTTTGGCCTTTTCTTTACTCCTTACTTCCTGAGTTGCTATCTGATGCTCCTCCTCTGCAGCTTGAATCACAGACGAAAGTTCAAAACTATCAGATAAGTTCTCCCAACCAGACTCGGTTGAACCTGCGTAGCCACATTCTGCTTGGTAACCATTGCCAATGTCCTCAAAATCAAATAAAGAACAACCTCCAGCAAGGGCTTCCTGCTCAAATTGTCTTAGCAGACGCTCTCTTGGAGACTCAGGATCACTCTCAGAACTCAAGGAAAATGGACTATGCTCCATCCCTAGCATGCTCAAGAACTCATTTGCAACAGATTCTGTAACATCATCCAAGCTATGCGACCTCCCCATCATTTTCGTTTGATTACCTTCCACACAACTTCTTTTGTCTTCAGGTGATTCTAGTGCTGCTCTCTCCAGATCTGACACAACATCTAAAGCTGACTCTAGTTCTTTCATGAGTGATTCTTTGGTGCATAGGTCATCTTCTCTGGAAGTGGACTCACATACCACAAGGTCATCTGTACAACTACTTTTTTCCTCAACCTGGGATTCAAGCTTAGTTTCATCTTCAACTGCAACCTGTACACTGCTGGTGGTTTCAGAAAAATGGGTTTCGGCTAGAGAAGCATCAGCAGCCTGTGTAATAACTTCTGATTCTTTCAGTTCATTTGCTGGTAATTCTATGCCCTGTTCAACTACAGAAAATTCATTTTCACACCCATTTTCTACTTTTTTACCAGAATCAGGTGAAGGGAAAGGATTTGTTTTCATTGCTTCAAGATGCTCTGTGCACACATCAAGTTCGGGCATGTAATCAACTGGAGCATCTGACTTCTCTTCTTCGTCAAATTTCTGATAAAGTGTATTCACCGAACTGGAAAGTTCCGACCTTGATATAGGCAAAACCTCATGAAGATCCTTTATGTCCTCTACAGATTGAGATGATGCCCGTGACCGCTGTTTAGGAAGAGTTCCAGCACGCCTTATACTGCCCCTGCTATCAACCTGGCCATATTTCATGCCTGCTGTTGTTGCCATACTCGAGTTATTCTGCCTCGAAGTCAACACCTCAGGAACATTCTGGCTATTTTCTGTTGCACGGGGATTATCCCCCAGCACTGTATACCCAAAACTAACATTCAATGAACCACCTTTAGCCTTTCCTGATAATCTAAAACTCGTTGTCCAGTTTCCTGAGCTTTTCTCCTCCTCTAACTCCTCCAACGTCAGAGGAAGCAACCTGGTGAGATCAATCCTATGCTTCCCCAGATCAAGTTCTGGTGCACCAAACACAGAAGCATATAGCAAAAAATGCTTTGCCTCATACTTTGCTGAATGGTGGGGTCCACTCCTACTACCATATACTGAGCATGTGTGGGTCAACTTCTCTTCAAATTTGGCCGTGCCTTGAACAACCTTCACTGGATTAGTAACGAAAATTCCATCCCGCCTCTTCCAATGTACACAAAGACTAATTTCATTCAAAGTGGAGGGCAACCCTTCAATGGAATGGACTTGAAGAGAGAAGCAGCAGTTAAACCTACGGTTTCTGATATGGGAAAAAGCCTTCAAGGGCTTCCAATTCCAAAAGGACCTCTTCTCTTTAGCTAACAAGTTTTCACCAACAGATTTAGGCTTTGATTTTGGATCAGGTACGCGGGACTTTCCTATAGATCCTGAAGGGTTACTTCCCGCAGGAATTGAACTCCTAGAGGGGTTTTTGTCTACGTATAAGGCTTTGCTTATAGTCTCAATCTCATTCAACAATTTCCTATTACCTGAATCCCCACCCCTCTTCCTTCCACCGTCCAAGTTTGACAACATCGTCTACTGTTTTCCACACAAATTACAAAATTCAAAGTGAATAACAAACAATCAGATAAAGCAAAACCCAATTCTACAAAGTCACCCAAAAGGACAATTCTTGAAAATTCAAATTCATTGGCTAAAGCTCTTTTCTCACATAAAATGCAAAATCTATAAAACTGAATTGAATTTTTTTTTAAATTAATCAGAAGTTAAACGCTAATTACCGAATGGAGCTGGCTGGGCCAAAAAAGCTTGCTGGTGAATCAGAACCAAAACCCTAATTACAAGATCCGAGGCATAGACTTTCGCAGCTGGAAATTCAAAGTTGAAATTTGGAAGTAAACGGATTTTAAATTAAAGAGGGAGGAGGGAACAAAATCCAAAATCTTACAGAAAGAGAGAGTTTCGGAGTTTTCTGAGCAGCGTTTATGTCGCCAAACTCGCTGTCACTCTCTCTCTCTCTCTGGGTTTCTCTGTTTGAATTGCCGCTGCCTCTTTCAAACCAAAAATATAACAAATTTGAAAACAAGAAAAGAACAAAAACAAAAACAGAAACAAAAACAAAAAGAGCATGTAATTTACCAGAGAGCCCGTAATTCATTGTATTTAGTTGTTTGCCCTACATTTTATGCATCCTTTTTGTAATCTAGTCCTTTTCATTTTTTCTTCGTTTCTTTGTGGTTCGATTGAAAAAATAATTGGTGTATACGTTCTAATTAGATGATTAAGAACGAGTTAAAATTTGAGCATAGATAGTAGTTTTTAGAAATATTAAAAATAAAATAAAAACTTGACCCCATCATTGATATGTCATATAATTGTGAATTAGAATGAGTAAAAATTATTATTATTGTAATAAGTGTCGTTAATAATTAGAATAAGTTCACATTGATCAGTGGGATGTAGCTCAATTGGTTAAGCTCTTCCACCTCCACTCATGTGAGCAGAGATTCATATCCCTTATGCATCAAATGAATATTTATATCAATGTAGTTTTTCTAGTACAAGCGAATAGCAAAAAAAAAACCCCATTGACATATGCATATAGAAGGTTATGAATTTTTCAACCCATCCGGGCCTGGTTTTTGTTAATTGTGATTAAAAAGATTTCCCCAACTACCTAATAAAGTTTTCTTTAAGATGAATGGGGTACCCAAAAGAACTTTGCGGGCACTAGTGTAATTAGCCAAAAATAAATAATTTGTCTTTGTGTGTGAGAAAAGGGGTTGCATGTGCATGAAGAAAGGGAGACTAGGCTTTAATTAGCTTTTTTCTTCCTTAAGATATACTTTGCTTCCATAAACCATTCACATGGTTTGGCTAACTACTTCAAGAAAATGAAGAAGCCAAGTGTAGATGTAGTCTATCTAAAATGCCTTACATTTCATGTTTATTCAAGATATAACGAAGGAAGAATGAGAACTATCTATAAGAAGTTACGTACAAAGATACTCAGGCCTAAAGTGAGTCTTATAATAATGTCAAAACTTGCCTATACTTTCAATCCTTCTGGATATTCCCAGCAAAGTCCATATAGCATCTCTATTTTGAAAACAACTTTATTCCCACTAAGTAGTTCTGGAACTTGGGGCATTAGATGTTGAAATAATTTTATTGTCGTAATATTTTAGCGCTCTCTCTCTCTCTCTCTCTCTCAATCAAATTGAAAGAGCAAGCTTACAAGCAGTAGGTGACATGCACACATCATTATTATTGTGTGTTATTAGAATTCAAATTAAAAATCCTGAGATGAGAAGAACACACGAAGCTCAACAAAGACGAGACAACGATGACCCACTCCCTCCAACCCACAAATTTTAAAAATGACGCGCCAACATCAAAATGTACGAGAGCATCTGTTATCTCATTACAACGATGACCCACTCCCTCCAACCCACAAATTTTAAAAATGACGCGCCAACATCAAAATGTACGAGAGCATCTGTTAATTCGTTCATTATTATGCAATTGCATACGCGAGAAGAGAACCGTGTGGCAAATAATAATACTTCAAGCCCTCCCCTACCCCTCAAATCAAATCCATGTAAAGATGCTCGACTTTTTAAGGCTCACGATCCTTGACCATCTAAAGACATCTTCATGGTGTTTTTTAGTGTTCTGGAAAAAGAAAACTCGTATTTGATATGTATAACCGTTTATAACCGTGTGACAAAATAATATAATTTTGTCATAAAACAATTGATACTCATATATGCATGCATGTGCGACTGACCTTATCATCACTCTGACCATTGAATAGCTTAGCTCATGTGTAGCATCTAATTATTGTGCGTGTGTGTGGTGCACAGAATTAAAAACCATTTAATAATTAATTAGCTCATGTTTGTAGACATTTTCAGTGGATATTGATTGGAAATTGTGAGCCCTTTTATTTTTTATTTTTTAGGGTTTTCCGGATGGAGGCCCATGCCTCAATTGCACCAAAGTGCTCCTTGAAGAGCGGGCTCAGCCCACTAGCCCAGACCGGGATAACCTAAATTTTAATCCCCTCCGTTTCAAAGTATTTTTCTTATAGGTCAAGTTTCCATCAGATTATGCCACGTATGGATCAAGGGTGACTTGACTTTGGGTACTTTCGTTCGTTGTGCTAGGCCACGTGGCAGAACCTACCATGCATAATTTGTCAATGTCGACTGACAGAGAAACGAATGAGAAAAAACAATTGACCGAATATCCTGATTTTTTATTTTCTTTTTATAATTAAAGACTATCTCATTTAAACCAAAAATAGTTAAATCGAATTATTTTTCTTAATTCTCTTAGACACATCCCATATATGAAAAGAATTGGAAAAAAAAACAAAGGGTAAAACACGTACAGAAGTTTCACATAAAAAAAGTGCGAACCTCTTTTATATGTGGAAGCAGAGAGAACCTTCCTTTTAAAGCTTATAACAGATTTTATGTGGAAACACAAGCACCGCCTTCCTTCTCTCCCTCTCGCTCTTTTACCTCTCAATCTATCTATGTAACTCTGTTTCCGATTAACAAAAGATGTCCAATAACGAAGAGCCTGTGGAGGAAACAAATGGGGATTCATTTCACATAGTGAAGCAGGGTTTGAAAGATCGATCTAAGGTATGGCCAAATTCGTTTGCTTTTTTGCTTTTGGTAACACAAATTTGTCATCTTGATTCGTTTTGAATTGTGGGTTGTGTTTATTTTTTGTTTTTCTTGATATGGGAATGCTTGTTTTTTCAGAAAGTGGCTCAAACCAAAGAGATTTTGTCGAAACAAGCGGTTCAGACCAGAGAGATCCTCTCAAAACAGGCTGTTAAGATCGCCAAACAAGCTGAAGAACACGAAAAGTTCATCAACAAGGTAGGTACTTCAGTTTTTATGTAAAATCAATTTGATGTGTTTGATTCTTTGTGATATTGTGTGAAGTGAATGCATTGGGTTTGTTAATGTTTGTGTTGAAACTTATAAGTTATCTTTTTCATACTTAGGTGACGCATCTTGTGGGGGTCCTCGGGTTTGGTGGCTTTTGCTTTCTCTTAGGAGCAAGTAAAGATTCCTAATTGATAAAATGGATATTAATAATTGCTCCGTTGAGGAAAAGAACTTCCGTTGTGTTTTTATTTCTAAAATTTTCTTTTTAACAGGACCCCAAGATATTCGATATGTATATTGTTTGTTCTATGTAATCTTTGTTCCTCTTCGGTGGATATACTATCGGTTCAAGAAATGGCACTACTATCTTTTGGTAAGTTTTCATTTCTTATAGAGTTCGTTAAAATCTGTTAGTAAATTGTTACTACACTTGGATAACTAGGAAATTGATCATAGACATTTGAAGATATTTATAATCATATGGGATGTCTTTGCCATCTGCAATGCATCTTTGATAGGTGCTGCAAGGATAATGAAAAAACTGATTTGGCTCAAGTTTGTTGGAGCAGAATAGAGTAATTCATTAAGTGTAGCGCAATGGAAGTTTGGTTGCTTCCTGTTTGTTATTTTCTCTTTATTGTTCTGTGTGTGTCTTACCTTGACAAAGAAAAAAATGAGTACCACATAGAAAGTGAGAGATAAGAGAGGAAGTAACTGTTGGTTTGAAGTTAATAATAGTGAACAAGTACTTGGGTTTAGCCAATTTCCATGATCTAATATATCTAATAGATGATAGATGAATGTTGATCTGCTACTTCTAGTATGCCCAATTGAAAGCTTGGTGGAATTTTTTCAAAAAGTTGGTCTCTTCATCCTCACTGTCAGTTTTAGTTACACCTCTTTCAGTCAGCATTTTCTAGAAAACCCTCATACTCTTATGATCCTTCACTTATATATTTTTTACTCTCTATGGAATGATTTAATGATAAAAAAATCAAAAAGTGATATGATTGTTTTTATGTCCTAGGATTTTTGCTACTATGCCAATACGATCTTTTTGGTTGACCTCCTTCTTTATCCAAGGAATGAAAAGTTTTTCATGGTTTGCTTCTCATTTGCTGAGGTAAGCAACACATCCTCAGTTACTTTGCTTTGTGATGAAGTAATGATTCACTTGTACAATTGTTGACTGTTTCAAATGCACAAGCAGGGGCCATTAGCATGGGCATTGATTGTTTGGCGTTGTAGCTTGGTGTTTAGTTCTCTTGACAAAATAGTTAGTGTCCTCATACATCTTTTACCTGGTGAGTCAGTCTGCTTCCTTACATTTTGTTTTGAAGTACCTTTGAAACAATTTTGAATTATATATATTTCTTTGGGACAGTAAATACAATGGCTTCAAATTGGATATTAGGTAAAAATGCCTGCAGCAAAATGTATGCACATATATGAGATCAGAAAGAGCCTCCGTTGTGGTTTCTTGTGATTTTGTGCGAGATATCATTCCTCGACCATTGTCTCATATAGATTTTAAAACTTTAATGTAGATCCAACCAGATAAGTGGATCACGCTTTAGTTATGGTGGACCCTAAGAAAATGTAGATGGCGATAGTCTTAAGCAGGTTTTGGTATTATATATGTCTGAGCTTCTCCTAAAACAGAGGCGAGTTTATGTTGCATAGTCTGTTGTGTTGTCGTATATATCACCAACATGCCCCTGACGGAATAGGTTTATTTCAGGGTTAGTTTTCTTCACCATTCGATGGTGGGATCCAGCTACTTTTGCAGCCATGCATCCAGAAGGAACTTCTCGCAGAGCTTCGTGGCCTTATGTAGAAGACAAATCCTACCTTTGGGTGTGGTTGTTTTGGGTGCCCTTGTTTGCTTACACCTTATGGCAGGCTTTGTATTTTCTCATTGTCAATGTTTTACGCCGACAAAGGCTCTTAAGAGATCCTGAAGTCATGACTTCTTACAGGTTCTTTATATCTCTCTCACTTCTCCTTTTCCCTTACTTTTTTTTGGTTCGATTCTTTCGTTTTCCCCCATTTCTGATTTGATTTTGAACAGGGAACTGTCAAAGAAGGCGCAGAAAGCAAACAATGTATGGTGGCGCCTAAGCGGTTTGCTTGGGGATCAAAATCGCTTGCTTATGTTTATCCTGCTTCAAGCCGTCTTTACTGTGGCAACCATGGCGCTGACAGTCCCTATCTTCTTGTCATATGAATTGCATGTAGTTTTCCAAATACTCAAGGTTTCTGCATCTGTATGGAATGGAGGGAGTTTCTTGCTAGAGGTAATGCCTCGGCAAGTGATTCTCAAGGAGAAGAAGAAATTAGAAGTTCAACCAGTGCAAACTGAGCGAGACCAATCAACGGATGATGATGGAGGGACCAATAATTCTGCCGAGGCATCCAGTCCTAACTAAGAGCTGTTGAATATTATCCATTTTAGTCATGACAAATTACTCATCTTTTGTTGTTTTCTTAGAACTAGCGTACTTGTAGAACTTTATATTTGTTTTGCAGATCCGTGAGCAATGATTTGTTTATGTACAAATTCACAAAAAATGAATTTAAATGAGAGTATTACAAATGAACACAAAACAGGTGGTCTACTAAAAATTGGAATTTCCTTCTCAGCTCTCTTTCTTTGGCGCATTTTGTGACCACTGAACATCAACAACAAAACTCTTTGCTCTCTTTGCTCTTTTTGGTTCTACTAAATTTTTTTCTTGTAGTTTTGTTTTTCAGACGATATTAGCCTTTTCTATATAAAAAAATAACAAAAATAAGAAATGAAAAATATTTAAATTCACTTGATATTTGAGGGGGGGATAAGTGGATCACGCTTTAGTTATGGTGGACCCTAAGAAAATGTAGATGGCGATAGTCTTAAGCAGGTTTTGGTATTATATATGTCTGAGCTTCTCCTAAAACAGAGGCGAGTTTATGTTGCATAGTCTGTTGTGTTGTCGTATATATCACCAACATGCCCCTGACGGAATAGGTTTATTTCAGGGTTAGTTTTCTTCACCATTCGATGGTGGGATCCAGCTACTTTTGCAGCCATGCATCCAGAAGGAACTTCTCGCAGAGCTTCGTGGCCTTATGTAGAAGACAAATCCTACCTTTGGGTGTGGTTGTTTTGGGTGCCCTTGTTTGCTTACACCTTATGGCAGGCTTTGTATTTTCTCATTGTCAATGTTTTACGCCGACAAAGGCTCTTAAGAGATCCTGAAGTCATGACTTCTTACAGGTTCTTTATATCTCTCTCACTTCTCCTTTTCCCTTACTTTTTTTTGGTTCGATTCTTTCGTTTTCCCCCATTTCTGATTTGATTTTGAACAGGGAACTGTCAAAGAAGGCGCAGAAAGCAAACAATGTATGGTGGCGCCTAAGCGGTTTGCTTGGGGATCAAAATCGCTTGCTTATGTTTATCCTGCTTCAAGCCGTCTTTACTGTGGCAACCATGGCGCTGACAGTCCCTATCTTCTTGTCATATGAATTGCATGTAGTTTTCCAAATACTCAAGGTTTCTGCATCTGTATGGAATGGAGGGAGTTTCTTGCTAGAGGTAATGCCTCGGCAAGTGATTCTCAAGGAGAAGAAGAAATTAGAAGTTCAACCAGTGCAAACTGAGCGAGACCAATCAACGGATGATGATGGAGGGACCAATAATTCTGCCGAGGCATCCAGTCCTAACTAAGAGCTGTTGAATATTATCCATTTTAGTCATGACAAATTACTCATCTTTTGTTGTTTTCTTAGAACTAGCGTACTTGTAGAACTTTATATTTGTTTTGCAGATCCGTGAGCAATGATTTGTTTATGTACAAATTCACAAAAAATGAATTTAAATGAGAGTATTACAAATGAACACAAAACAGGTGGTCTACTAAAAATTGGAATTTCCTTCTCAGCTCTCTTTCTTTGGCGCATTTTGTGACCACTGAACATCAACAACAAAACTCTTTGCTCTCTTTGCTCTTTTTGGTTCTACTAAATTTTTTTCTTGTAGTTTTGTTTTTCAGACGATATTAGCCTTTTCTATAACTAAAAAAAACAAAAATAAGAAATGAAAAATATTTAAATTCACTTGATATTTGAGGGGGGAAAAAGTTATAAACAAATAAATGTCAAATAACTGTATATTCTATAATGTTGTTAATACATGGGCTTCCATCTAGTATTTTTCAAAAAAAGAAAAAAAAAGAATATAACACCACTTAATTACAAATTGCTTCCACATACAACAAATGGCCTACAAAATGCATTTTCACTCAAAAACCAGCAGACGACCTTAAACTCAACAAACAAGAAACTACCAGGCGCCACTGCCACAAGTCATCACATAAATTGTGATACACATGCGGCTTCCTAACAAATACCCTCGTGTTGACAAAACTTGAGGGCAAAGAATGAACTGACCCAAGCCATCAAACCAAGATTGATGGCATGAGCAAAAAAACCAAGCACTATACACATGGATGATTACTAACAATAAAACTGTATGCACAGGTTTCAGCGCATCAATTGATGTGCTATGTGTCCGAGAGATAACCATTAAAGATGCGATTTGACAATCGGAGACTATGCTTTCACTAACATCATTCGGAGCGGGGGAGTAAGAAGCCAAACCCAGAGTTTTCGCGAATCAATGGTGGAGGTTCGATGTCGGTTATATCTACTTGTTGCATTGACTTGGAGATGTCGTCCACCGAGAATGGTATGCTGCATGAACATTCATAGAACATAAGAAGAAAAGATAACCTCTCCATATGGATAATCAAATATAAAATTCCGACTTCAGTTTGGGGATCACAAATCAGTACCTTGAGTCATCATCTAATAGGAAAGAGCTGCTTACAGCATTGTTTGAGTCCTCAGTCATCAGAACTCTCATGCTTGAAATAACCTGTGTAAGTTCAAACCAAACTTATTTTCAGAATACCAAAAGCAAGGACGGAGGTCAAAAGTTCACTAGTGTATAATGGACCACAGAGATTAATATTTTTCAGTGTCATTCGAAGTCAACTTACATCTGAAGACACACTGTGTGTACCATATTTGTCATCCCAGTACATTGTACTGATCCTGTACAACTGCTGTATGCTAAGAACCTGATGAAGCCACAAGCAATAACATCAGAAGGATGCATGCAAGGAAAAGAAATAGGTCCAGTATAAAATGAGTGATTCAAAGGAAGAGGCACGAACAGGGCAGAGTTCTTTTGTTATTTCATTCAAGGTCTTCTTCGGTTTCTGATGTATAACCTGATATGTTCATAAATTTTTATAATAAAAAAAAGAAGAAAAAAAATAATTCAGTCAGCTAATTCTGCAATTACTGATAATCACCATTTATTTGTTGCAATTAAAAGATCATAGACACGAATTTTACTAGGAATCCAACAGCCTGCCTAATATGCTTCAATTCATCCCAAGCTGAGCCTGCAAACTGTAGGCAAAAAAGATTTCAGGTAAATACATGAAAAAAATACAGAAAATAAGTTCAGTGTGGCACAGTTCTTACTTCCTCGCTTGCCCCATAGCACCACTGTTCTAATTCAGCCAAACCTGCTTTTACATATTCCCCATTACTGAACGAACAACACTCCCGCCGCAAAAGAAGACTGCAGAAAATGATGGAAATAAATGCCACAAAACCCTTAGACAAAGTGACTTTCTTTACTGAAAAACATGACTAAATAACCAAAGGACAAAAAGGAAGGGGGAACTTTCTTTTGGCGACATAGAGAGGGAGGACTGACTAATCTACCTATTGAATAGCTGAACATTGATGAATGAGAATATCTGTGTAAACACCTTGCGGACCAAGAAGGGAGGCACCTGTCGTAAGCCAAACAATATTAAAAGTACTGTTTACTACAAGTATTACAATTTTTAACGCTCAATGAGGAAAACTATATAACTCACATAATTTGCTTTCATTGTCTTCAAGTAACTGTCCAAGCTTTTCACAATGCTTTGCCAATGAGCAATTAAAGCTTGCTGAGCGACAGCATTAGCTTGGGCACGTCCTTTTACTAAACTTGCCCGTGATGTCCTAGGTGCCTGCATAGTACGTAAAACAGAAAGCAATCAAATTTGCCGGTCATTTAAGGAGGCGAATATTGGTAAGTCTGACACAGAGTATCCACCTTTTTTCTGTGTCCACCACACAGATGATATGCATGTAAGAGTTACGAGTCATTTCAGGGCAACAAGGTCCTATATTACTTTTTGGCACTTTCAGGGTCGTGTAGCATACACAATCCCTTTCTTTTTTTATTTCTTATTTAACTTATGACAGGATTCAACAAACACAGTTGAAGAATATAATTTTCCCAGAAACGTTAAAATAAAATAAAAAGCTATTAAGAAGAAGAAAAAAAACCAAAGTTGAAGTTGCATCATTTCAGAGGATAGACTGTTATTCCAAATAGATTCCTAAAATTCCTTGTTGGAAACAAGTTATATGCTATTATGCATTCTTTTTCTGGCTACAATAAAACCAACTATAGCATACACAATAAAAATTACGTTAACAGTCACCTGGATACATAACCCGAGTAACGGTGAGATTTCCTTCTTTAAATTGTCTCTCATCATTCCATATATCTTCTCAAGGAAGGCAGTAAGCTGCTGCTTAAACAATAACGCAGGATACTTGGCCTCAACTTGCCGTAGGTCATCCAACCTACCAAGTCCTCGACCATTAAGAAATGAGAGTCCTGCACTTTGAGGAGAAGCCCGTAACCCCTATAATTGACAAGGGTAATTTGCAAAATAAGCATGAGTCCAATATGATACAACAGACTTCTGAACAAAGGTACTTAAATTAGAAGACAAACAAATATAAATGCTTTGTACCTGAGACATCCTTCCAAAAAGAGATGCTGAGCTTGTTCTCCGCCGTTGTGGTGTCAAGCTAGCTGCTCCACTTGCTTTAAGTGTGTGTTGGAGCAGCAACAATAAAGTTGAGGTATTAGATAACCAATAGGCTAGTACGTCGTTATTATCCGGGACCTGCAGTGAGGTAAAACCAGCACTAGTAACATGCTCAACAGTATTCAAAACTTGTTCTAAATGATATGTACTAAGAAGGTATGGCTAAGTTTAGACAAAAAGACGGGATGTCAGAAAACCACCAAGAGTGACTTACCTCTATGGCTGAAGCAATTGTTTGAATTACACGGTCAAAAATTCCAGTCCTTTCCACTTCAAATGACCTCCAATGAAGTAGACATTTGTATATGACACAAGCAGCAATTGGCCTTCCCCCAAAAAACCCCAAATCCTGTGATATACATTTGACCAGCAAGTCCTGGTTCTCCTGAAAAACAGTAGATTGCAATAGAAGAATTAGAGAGAGAAATAGAAACATCATGGCATTAGGACATGCCGATAGCCACTTACCAGCTGCTTTTCATTGAGAGATTTCTGTGGTTTTTCTTCTGACTCAGGTTCACGTGCATTTGATATGGCAAGAGTCATATCCTGAAGCATATAGCAAACAGTAAGCAATACAAATAGAATAAATAAATCATTATCGCCTAAAAATTTGCAATATCTTCAAGGATAGAAGCAACGATGGCCACTTACTGATGTGACCTTGGATTCTCCATTTAGAACATTCCCATTTTCTGGTGTCCTCTGCAAATTTCAAGAGACACTCAGCCAGTGAGCTTAAAGGAGAAGGACAACACAAGTAAATGCAGAATGAGTAATGACCTAAAACCAAAGAATACCTGAATAATCATTGTCTTTGGTCTTGAAGATAGAGATTTCCCAGTCGGTGACATAGTCAGTGCTTGTTGACGAAGTACTTGATTCTCGGACTCTGTGTTAGAAAGTTTCTCCTCAAGCCTGATATGGAAAATGTATCAACTCCAATAAACATGACTTCACAGCAAAGTGGTGTCATGGAAGAGAGAGAGAGAGAGATGCTTTGTATATAAGCAAACAAATATAAAGGAGTGCACATCAAGACAAGAGAGGCAAGGGAATAGTGTGTGTCAAGGTGAAAATTGATAGCAGGTTATGTGAGTCTGATTCAGTAATTATAAAGTGACAAAAAGGAAAAATAAACGTAAAATTGACTGAACGCAGTTAATGAGCAATAAAATGTGAACTTGAAGCTGAACCTACAAGATATGAAAGGAAAATCGCGAGTCAATCAGGGGTACAAAGTAGAATCATTTTTATTGCAATACTAGATACCTAATGGTTCCATTATCACTAGTGTTTGCAATACTAGATACCTAATTATCACAAATGTTTACAAACCTCTGTACAGATTCCTGGAGCTGATCCACTTTTCTGCTTCCATCTTCAAGTTGTTTGACCAGCTCTGCATTTCTAGCCTCAGCATCAATAGAAGCTTTCTTGGCCTCTTCCGCCGCCTGCCTTTCTGACAGCAGCAAGGTCTGTACAGTTGTAATGCCTCATTAAGTCAGCACATTGCATGAGTTCAATTTTGAGGTCAATCAGCAACATTATGTGCTCATGAAACGATAAAAACTACGATTCCAAGGTAAAATATGAACCAGACAACCCCAACAAGGAGTGTCAATTGAGTCCGCACAGGCCTTGACCAAGCTCAGTTTGAAGTGTAAATAGTTGAGCCTAAGCTCAATCCAACCCACTATTTAGGGCAGAAGTTTTAGATCAAGGGCGGCCCACCTAGGTAAATTCCAAGGTTTGACCTTTTTAACAAAATATTTCACATGATATAACCTGAACAGCTTTTAAGTAAGAGTAGATAAGTTTATCAACCATCAAAATACACATCTTTATATAAAAATTAATATGCATCGCCCTTGGGGTT